GGGGGGGGGGGGGGGTGAGGTACGAATTCGTATCACTAACTACATATAAATAGATCAATCATGTCGGAATGTACAGAGGCCAAATCGAACCAGCGAGATCGGAAGCGAAAGAAAGAAAGATTTCTTGTCAGTCATTCCTTCCTTATTAGATGTCGAATTTTCTATTCATCCAAATGATTTGGGTGCTTACGTTCACAGTATAAAAAAGCGCACGCGACTTCGAATGAAATAATATTCACTGGTCGTCTTTGATATTGTAAAGTCTGTATAGCGTGTAGGCTTTCTATGAAAGCCGCATGTCCAAACTGATTATTGGCTATTGACTGTTTGCCACGAAAAAGCACAGCTGCCGATGTCGCTGACGAAGTCTTTCACGTAAACAAAAGTTATTCTTTTAGGCTCAGAATTTGCTTCTACGTTTCACCTTCTATTCATTAATTTGTTTTATCGACATTCCTGTAAGAAAGTTCATCATGAATGAGGGCAGGTACAAAGTTATTGTAGACCAAAACGGGGTTATATAAGAGCTTAATTAAAAAGTTTCTTTAGTCATAAGATCCGATGTACGGATGAGTGCGAGAGTATCTTCGGGATGGCGACGCTGGCGTCAGCTTCAAACTCGATGCAATTAAAATAAGCTACCAGGTGAAAATAAAGATTCCACATAAAACTTCGTTTCGACATTGCAGTTGCCATGTGCGCATATATCTCGCATGCACTTTAGTCATTCGATACATCTTATCATTTTCTCAAGCGTTACATTATTCACAATCATTCATTTTTCGCGCGACTACTTCCGACGCAAAAGTCTTTAATAGTTCTATAGGTATAACTTAATGTTTCTTTAAAGTATGTACAAAGACTACTACTCGATTATCTAGCTAGATGGTGACTATTTCAGTCAGATTGTAACGGTCGAGCTTCTTTCGCAAAATCCTCTGCGAATCCTCGAGAATAAGTACGTGTCGCTGGGACTCTCGTGATATTTAGGATTGACGTTATATTTGGTACATCCACTACTGTACTCAGGATACTCGGATTGTGTTTCTTCGTAAGAAGGTGACATTGATTGAGTGGATCCAATCACCTTCGCCTGGCACCTGCCTCCAATTCCTGGAGCTTAAAATATTCTCAAGTGAAGCTCAGTTGGAAAACTTTCCAGATTTATCTCGGTGGGCGATTATAGACTTTTGAGCCGCTTTCCTGGCAGACCAACCAATCGTTGGGAGCGCTTCGACATAATATACAAACCTCCCTGGAATTCTCGAACGTTACATCCGACAAAGGATTCTATAACTTATACACAGAAAATCCATTACGATGCAACTTTGCTTTCTCCAAAGTTTAACGTTATCGCAATTATTGAAATTTTTTAACTATAGACACATTTGCATGTGGACGCAAGATACGAATGAAAACTAAATTTCTCAAGGATTTGCGGAATTCCAAGAATCGTGTACTCGTTAACAGAATGGTGTGATCTCTTCAAATAAGAGATCATCCCTAGATGCTAGTCTAGATTTTGTTCGTTTCAGTTCAGGGAGATCGAGTTTCATTTAAAAAATATTTTCAGAATTCAAGACTCGATTGTTTTTTTGTCCTCCTGCCAGCGTTTACTACGAAGGAGTGGTAGGATACAATGAGCAAGCGATCGTGTTTTTATTACACTCTCTCTCTCTCTCTCTCTCTC